AGTAATGAAAACAGGTTTCATTTATTTGGGTCAGATGAATCCAAATAATCTAAATCTGATAGAAAATTTCTGGAAAGTCCAATCAAATTATGGCTAAGAAACCCAGTGAGTGAACTGTGGAAGAGACTGAAGAAGAGTGATTGAATGTTCTGTCATTTTCATAACATCATAAAGAGATTTCGTTAAAGTGCCTTGGGTTTTTTGTATAAAACAGTTATCCTTGTATAATATTAGCCGCAATCACAGTTCCCTCATATTCTGCATGAAGATTACATTTACTCTTGAACAAAATCAAGTGTTCATGTATTGTTCTTTTATTTTGATCTCCACTCAAAATAAAAGGCCTGGGGGTGACTAAATGAACAGCAAACTTTTATTTTTTTTAGGGAACTATCCCTTTAAAATGTTTTTTTTTTTCTTATTACTTATTTTCTCTCTTCTTTTCTATGAGATGAAGCAGTTGAACGGTTTTTGGTTTCCAATTTATGGCCGTTTGATTATTACACTCGTTTGTTTAATATTAATGTCTAATTAACCCCCTTTTTTACCAGTCGTCCCCGGAGTAAGGAAAAGAGTAGAAAGATAATGAATATTTAATGACTTTCCATTTTCATTTTCTTTGTCATTGTTGTCTTTATACAACACAGTCTGTTCGTTCTTTCACTTGATGAACTTATAGACCTTATTTGGGAAATATTTAATGAGGCTTTGAGGGAGAAGCACAGCTTGTTCAATGACTACTTTTATGTACGATGAAAGTCGACAAAGTTTTACTGGACAGTAAGACTTCAGAACTCGTTTTCATTGTCGAACTCAAAATATATATATATATATATATATATATATATATATATTTTTTTTTTTTTTTTTTTGGAGTATGTTGAGGAACTGTTTTATGTAAATCAAACCCCTATACATATTCCTTTTCCAATGCAAGTAAACTTGTATTTAACTTAATATAGAAATGTATTTGGACAGCATTAATGAAGTGATTTATTCAACAAAAACCAATTTGTAAGTATTGTAGGATTATTTATTGTATAAAAAAGACTCCTTTATTTGATCATTTTAGTGTGTTTTTTCCTGTTTAACTTTTTTCTATGAATCTTGACATAATGGTAAAAGATGCATGACCTAATTGAGTACTTTACTGAGAGTTTTGGAATAAGTAGTACCTTTAGTGGTGTTTTGCTGCTGATTTGCTCTTGAATATGTTTAGTTGAGAATGTGGGGACACACACACACACACACACACACACACACACACACACACACACACACACACAAAACTCTTCAAAGTATTACTAAATGCAAATTATAAGTGAAATGTGTATGTTTATATTCCATGTTACCTGATGATATTAGTAAAATCCCAGTCCAAGATGTGTATGGACAATACTGATGGCTTAACGTAATATAAATGAAAAGGTTGACAAAATGTGACCTTATATATATAATAGTTAGTACATAACATGCAGTAGAATTGTACACTGTTCCACTGTTCTCATCAAATGTGCAAGTAGTAGTGATTTGGATGATAATCTGATTTATTTGCCGCTTGGAAAAATGGCTCCTAGGTTGTCTTTGTGAATTGAAGCCTTGTATGGCTTTTTAAAGTTTTAATGAAAACAAAACAGATATAATTTTTTAGGTACCGTTGGTCAGACTTCTTTGTTTAATTTGGGCTTGTTAGCTTATATGAAGCATACAGTCAAAAATTTAGGGGTGAAATTTGACTCAGATTTTAAATGTGACAGTCAGATTACAGCGGTAGTTAAATCTTGATGAGTCTATTTTCTATTATCTATTGAGTCTAACTTGTATTATGTTAAACTGACTTAAAACAGCTTGTGAAACTTATAAATTTAAGGTAGAACATGATTACCTTAGCTTAATGTTACAATGACCTAAAAAATTGTATAGTTTTTACAGTGTAGTAAAAATAAAGCAATATATACCTAAACAATGGTTTAAGACAGTAATCCATGCTTTTATGACCACTCGGTTAGATAACTGTAATGCACTGTATGTGGGGAGTAGCAGATCAGCTATTGTCTGTTTGCAAATGGTGCAAAATGCTGCAGCTCGCCTGTTAACTTGTACTTGCAAATATGACCTCATTTCTCCCGTTATCTTCACTTCATTGGGTGCCAGTAAATTTTAGCAATATTTTATCTTGTATTTTTATACTATTGTGCTTATTTTGTTGTAGATCTCTGTACAGAACTTTGCATCACTTCTGTGTTTTTAAAGTGCTCTATAAATTAAGTTTAACTTGACATTACCACATAAATACTACCCATGCGTCTATTTTTTAACATAAATGAATCATGTACCACTTGTGTTAAAAATTAGTTTTCAGCCTATAAATGTTGGGATTCTTATTTTAACATATTTAACATTCACAAATAATTTCTCTTTTGATTTGCAAACAGTTACAAAGCTTATCCCACCACAGAGGAACAGAAAAGGTGAAAGTTCTGGAAAAAGATACTTTTCTGTCTCTCCGTTTTTTTCAATCCCCTAATCTTAAATTTAATATGAATTATTGCAGACATAAATTACCAATCCAATATCTGTATGCCTCAATATAAAACCAGTGTACAAAAGGCTACTAGTTTACATGTTTTTTTTTTTTAACCATGTTTTCATTTGCATCAAATTAAATACTTACTCCATTTGAAATACGAATCTCCGCTGTGCTCTACATGAAGTACACAACAAGCCCGTTCTCTGTAATTCATTTTCAGCGGGTTTGTGTCTGCCAGAGGCTGATAGCTCCAGCTCAGGCCGAGCGCTAAGAATAGTCCTGCTTGCTTTTGGCGTGTGTATGTAATCCATTCAAGGCTGCCAGGGGACTAAAGACGCTGCTTCTCACACCTCTGGGATTGGTAAGTGCTGAGAGGGTGGGTTGAACACTGGTATGGTGGTGTGGTTTGGTGCCAAGGGATGTTTCTTACTTCAATCTACGACTTTACACGACTCGCCGGTTATACGGGCGAAGAAATGTGTTGTGGTTCAGGTGACTGGGGAGAAAGATGTTGGGGAACTGCAGTGCCTTTTGCGTGCCTTTTTACTGATGTGTAATCACAGACGGTGTATGAGCACTGAGAACTGCATGTTTTTTTTTTTTGTTTTTTTTTTCTTTCAGTGGTACCATTTGTTAAAGGCTGAACTGACACACAGCTGGGCTTAGTGGATTTGTGTGCTGCTGTGGAATATGGCAAGGCATGTCAGGAATGTAAATTTTAAGTTTGTGTGAATTAAGAAATCAAAATAATTTTTTTAGATAAACAGTTCATCCATACAAGGTATTCCACTGAAAAAAAAATGTTTTGGTTTAAATATTTTTATTATTAGAAAGTTTAGCAGACATTCACCATAGATATATACACTAGATATCGCATTGGGACCCTGAGCATGCATCAATAGCGCCGCCACATTTGTACAGTGCTCCCAGGACAAATGTCATTCAACTGCACTAGTCAAGACAGTGTTAGTGTCAAGACGCTGTCTAGAGGTGTAGTAATGAGCAAACAAAGAAAACAAAGCACAAAGGCAAACCATTTCATAGTTTTTTTACATTTTTGTATGTTATGAACTTTCGAGCTAAACAGGTAACGTCATTGAAGATACAGTCTCTCACTTCATTCATCATAAGGCAAAGTGGCACCAACTCGCACTAAATACTCGGTCATGCATTGTTTGTTAAATAAAATCAGCAAACGATTCAAAAGCAATATGACAACAAGATGCTGCGGTGCCAGAAACTTGTAATATTGTCGGATAAGTGAACAAGTTTATAACGGAGATTCATTCACTAACGAATCGTTCCTTCCGTCAGTATGAGAAGTAAAAGCAGGAGAGGGTAGGTGTTTCAGGACTAAAGGATTAGATCAAATTTAACAGGTAGGTTGGAGAGTACATTTCCATACCCACAAACACAAGCTTTTTGTCAGAAATGCCTGTGCGATCACTGATCCATCATGTAAAAAGTGATGTGAAATTATATTTTTCGTAATTTAAAAAATATTTGCATACTGACCTCCGGGAAAACTCCCTATTATAGATATATGTGTATATCTCTGGCTTTGGGTCCACAGTCCTCCTCTGCAGCTTGGTCCCACATTCATTTCAAAGGAGCACTACCCTGTACTAAAATGGCGGATTTATTGACGCATATCTGCTAATAGACAACAGCAGCGTAGGCAACATCTAATGTATATATCTATGGACATTTACTTGTAAATGCACTTTAAAAATACATATATAAAGACACAACGTACATTTTAACAATTTGACATAAAAAAAGAAGAAAACAAATCAATTAAACAAAACACAAATAAACCGGTGATGACAAATAAACCTATCAATGATGCAAATTGACCTATTACTTTTCTTTATTGCTCCAGGAATAGTTTCATATATTTGTTTATGAAATAATAAAATGTTTAGTGTGGTAGGCATCTATAATTTTTATTTTTTATTTTATTTTATCTTATTTCATTTTTTGAGCATTATAAACTCTAGATAATGGATAGTAAAGCCCAAAGTGTCTTCTTTCCAAAGATACACGATACATGATCTCTGAATGTAGACCAAATTACTTGGTAGTCTACTGGTAGTCTACTTGGTAGTCTACAGTAACAGCCGTTACTGTTTTAGTTTGGGAAGGTCATTTTTGAGAAAGCTAACAGGTTAAATGTATTGCTTCAAACTACTGAACGTTTCAACATCAAACATTATCAAAGCAGAGATCAGGGTGAAACTTGAATGTATAAATGAATGGAAAACACCTGTGAATCACACAATGCAGCAACTGTTAATTAATGTATTTTACAGTGAAGTTTAAAAGGTTATTCAAATGGTTTTAGCCAATTTATTTGATAAAACAAAGATATTTATATCATAAAGTATGATCTGCAATCCTGAACACCTAAGGTGCATGTTACATGTCAATGTTTAATTTGAAATAGTGGTATGATTGTGTTTCTCTGTAGGTGGTAAACTGTGGTGGGCAGATGATGTTCTCGCTCAGCTGGGCACAGTTAACAAGAGGGATGGAAAAAACCTGACGGTTCTCCGAAACAAGACCACAGGCCTCGTCCACATCAAAGTCTATGACAAAGACACACAGAAAGGTAAAAAAGAAACCCATCTCTGAATGTTTTGTCTAAAAATAAAGCCAGACTAAACAGCTCACCAGAGTGATTAAGGTCAAAGCAAAGATCTTTTTAAAGTCAGAAAACGTTTTTGTTTGTTTGATCAAAAACAGCAACAAGTACCAGCAATATCAACGGTTCCCAGACTTTTTGAGCATAGAATTATGTCCCTTCTCTTACCTTTTTAATCCGTTTCTCATCATTCATGGCTCTTTTTAACACATAAAATCTTAATTTCAGCAATCAAATGTTAAAAACAATAGAATTTAGGAGAAATTTAGTGTAGTAAATTACATTTAAAACAATGAAAACAGAAATGTAACTAAAATGTAATCACTCTAAGGGCCCTATCATACACCCGGCGCAATGTGGCGCAAGGCGTGACGCAATTGTTGTTTGCTAGTTGCGCCATGCTGTTTAAATGCCAAATGCATTTGCGCTCATATGTGCGCCCATAGGCGTTCTGGTCTAAAAAGAGAGGCTTGACGAGGTGCATTACTGGCATGGTGCTATTTTGAGAAACTATACTAGTCTGTTCTATAGACCAGAACAAAGCTGGTCTAAAGTCCAGCGTAGAGCACGTTAGTTATGTGCCTTGCTTACACACTGCTTAATACACACAAGATGTAGAGCAATACGCAAATATCTTTACATATTAAAAAGAATTAAACTATTAAGGATATATATATATATATATATATATATATATATATATATATATATATATATATATATATATATGTATATATATGCCTTTGTATAATGTTATTATTATTAGCAGTATTATTTATTGTATCCATATTTATATTTGTTTTATTATAAACAAGCTTAGATTTGCTCACCTGTCAGGTGCCATATGGGGCATAGCTTAGGATATAACTTTTTTAAACACACTTCGTTATTATTGTTCATTTATTCAATTGCTGGAAATTAGAACAGAATTTAGAAATAGTTTTGAAACAAATCTTTGCGCTTAACAAACAAAAGAAATTATTTATAGGCTAATTGATGTCTGTGCGTACAAGGTTTTCCCTGTCCACGAGAGCGAAAGTGAAAGTAGAAAAAGAGAAGGCTCATCTCTCATTCTCGCGCTGCATATGCTCTGTTTAACTGTTTTCTTGCTAGTGAAACACTCAGTTTTTATACTTACAAAGTCCATCATGTAAATAGCAAATGCGCTATGGCGCGACACAACTGACTCTTAAAGGGAATGAGAGATGAGACTCTGATTGTTTTATTCTCAAAACACACCTATAACTCATTTAGAAAATAAGCTCAACGCTTTAAGACCATGCGCCACGGCGCAAAGCGGGTTTTTCCATCCTTAAAATAGCAAAAGTGGATTCTGACACGCCCTTAATGCGTTTGCGCCCTGCGATTTGCACTTTGTGTGCATGAATTGCAAAATATAGCCCTAATTGTTTTGATATACAACAGAGGTGTCGCTAGACCCTCACGTGCCCCAGTAAAAATCGCCAGTGCCCCAGTAAATGCTTTGAGATACGATTTACTTTATATCCAAGTGTATTTATTAAGAGTGATAATCCCAGTATAAAGACATTATTCTCTATGTGCAATCGAAAAAAAAATAAATAAACGTACCCGCACGCCTCACACACTGCTCCTGCTTGATGCTGACGCACTGCTCTGCTGCCGGTGTAAGTTCCAGTTGTGAACACACTCTAGTTGTATCTATATAGTACATTACATGTTTTCCAGTTACATTTAGGATTCATTTCTGTTATTAATTGTATAAAAACAATAATACTGTTAATTATATATATATATATATATATATATATATATATATATATATATTTATTTATTTATTTATACACATACACATACACACACACACACACACACACACTCATTCACACTCATACACAATGGACAATTTAGCCTAAAATGCTAATAGTGTATGTATGGATGACTGAATAAGAATTCATTAATATCAAATATACTGTATAAGATCTGTTGTTTATGGATGGTGAAGTTCTACACTGCAAAAAAAAACAAAAAAAACATGCAACTTCCTCAGAGTTGTTGTCTTTTTTCTAGTTCAAATATACATAAACAATTCTACATTTTCATATCAAAAAACTATTCTAGACAAGTACAAAATAGTGTTTGTTTCTCATAAATTAGACTCAAATTAAGTGAGTTTTTTCAGAGAAAAATAATCTGCAAGTGAAGTTAGTTATTCTTGTTTTAGAAACCCATATTTTATATAAGATTATATTACTTACAATATTGGACCATTATTTTTCTTGTTTTAAGAAAATCTCATAAAATCTATGACTGAAAACAAAACATTTTGTACTTGTGTAGAAATCTTTCTTGGTTTAATAAAGCTTAGGAATTTGGACTAGAACCAAGACAAAAACTATAAGCAAGAAAGTATGTTTTGCAGAGTACATGACTGGAATGCCGGTTATGTTTCATACAGGTTTAAGTTTCTATGGCCGCACATTGTCAAAGCCCTTTTCTCTTATGAATTATGGCGAAAGACATTCATATCACTGACAGGTCTATTAGCAGTGGAGTGCTTGATCCTCTAAACGCTCTATTAGGATGAAAAAAAAATGGCAATTAGGGGCTCTTTAAGGTAAATCTTTTCGCTTCCTCTTCAAATCTTCTCATACCAATTAGCTCGCTCATTTATATCTCTGACACTGACCTCACGGGAGCGAAGCCCGTCTCATTACGCCACTTCAAATGAGCCAAGTTGAGTCTTTCCGACAAGGTGTCCGAAGAACAAAGTCAAAGCACCATTGCTTCTTCTAGTTCTGTGTTATAATGTTTCTAAAATTGATTTAGGAAAGCACACAAGCTTGCAAATTACAGATTTACTTCAAAGGAATAAAGTATTTTTTTGGAAATATTAATAGGTTTACAACTCCTCCAGTGGTAAACAGTTGAGTAATCCATTTTGAGGAAGTTAAAGAGTCCATTTACCATTTTTAAATCCATACAGCTGATCTCTGGGACTGGCGAGAGCACTTTTAACTTAGCTTAGCTTAGCATAAGCCTTTGAATTGGATTAGACCATTAGCAAGTCTCTCAAAAATGACCAAAGAGTTTCAATAATTTTCTTATATGGATGATTCCCCTCAAAAAGAATTGAAAAGGGACTTATTAAATTAAAGCAACAAATGTAAACACATCTCAATACCAACGGTAAATAAAGCTGTTGTTGATGATAATGATGATAGTGAAGATGATGATGAGTGCATAATTCATAACTCTTCTCATAGGTCGTAATCCTTGTGTACTGAATAATGGCGGGTGTTCGCAAATATGCCTTCCCACATCTGAAATCACTCGAACTTGTTCGTGTACTACTGGATACAATCTGCGCCAGGACAGGTCGACTTGTGAAGGTACATTTACTGGATCTGATCGTAAATACATTTGAGTCTTTGGGGTATTTGTTAGTTTCAAAAGCATGTTTACCTGAGAATTTTTGTTTGTTTGTTTGATTGACGTTGGTAGGTCTTCAGTCTTTCCTGATGTACTCCGTTAATGAAGGTATTCGAGGACTTTCTCTCGATCCCAGCGATAACTCTGAAGTTTTGACGCCGCTATCTGGCACTTTATTTGCTGTGGGTCTGGACTATCATGCGAGTAAGTGCACCTCACCATCCATCCATCCATCACTACATTCATCCATCCATCCAGTTGATGAAGATGAGCTTCTATCTATCTATCTATCTATCTATCTATCTATCTATCTATCTATCTATCTATCTATCTATCTATCTATCTATCTATCTATCTATCTATCTATCTATCTATCTATCTATCTATCTATCTATCTATCTATCTATCTATCTATCTATCTATCTATCTATCTATCTATCTATCTATCTATCTATCTATCTATCTATCTATCTATCTATCAATTTATCCATCCATCCATCCATCCATTTATCCATCCATCCATCCATATATATTTACATATATGTATATAATATATATATATATAAATTTACAATTTTCTTTTCAAAATCTTGCCACCAGCAAGTGGCATCATGTAAGAAATGTGCTTAAAATGATGTACACTCACTTAATTTCGTTTAATTAAAAATGAGCAGTTATTGTTTCTATAAATCTGAATTAGTTGTGTGGTTTGAAACAAAACAATTATGCATTACCATGCCATGTGTACAACAATAAATCACCCATTGACACAAGGGAAACTTTCCATCGTCGGGTATCCGCCAGTTTTGGGACAGATTTATGTATATAGTGCAGTAATTGGACAGCTGTCTCCGCACTGAGACAGAAATGACACTTTTTGCATCAGCGACAGACAGTTCGCAGCTCTGCATTTGCATGATAGAGCAAATATTGGCATTGCATTGCATGTCTATACACTTTTGTTCATTGCGAGATGAGTTGAAGAGTGGTGTTATGCTGTTGTGACAGATGGAAGATAATCGAAACAGATTAGCTGGACAGATGAGGCGATGTCTCATAACAATGTGAATGGGCTTCCATTGGAGTTTTTGTCAAATGGGACATAATGTAAATTTCCAGCCGGGTGCATGAAGCTTCAGATAATTTTGTGTCGCCAAGTCAAAGCTATTTTCATAAAAACCCCTTTGAAAGGGACAGGCCTTGGGAGCCAGGACAATCACCAGTACTTTGTGCCTTTTTAGCCTCTATTGTTTTTGAGAAGAGGCAGTTTTGGATGAGAGCAAAAGGGCAAAGATATTTTGGCCAGTTGAACCATCTTTTTCAGGTAAAGCTTGGCATGTGTTCGTGGCTCATCAAAATGTATTTTTGATGGCCCGTTTATTTCCAAATTGGCCATTACCACAAGAACTTACTAAGTCCTATGCCTTTTTGATTAAAAAAAGACACATTTCATGCTTTTAAGAGCATTTTTAAACTATCTTGGAGCTATTTTTGAGTGCTTGTCATTTAAATAATAACAAGGTGACAACAAGGATACTATTATGCATTAAGTATTACTATTACGTATATTATTAAACTAAGAAAAATCTCAGTAGTATATCAGTAGGCTCTTAGGTGCATCCTTAATTAAATATACTTTTTGCCCCTGTAACATACGTGTCAACATTGGGATGTGAAAATAAGGGACAGTCACATACAGTTACATGAATTGACTGATATGGAGATTGAATATGATGGGCAATGGCCCATGGCTTTAATGGAAAGGAAAGAAACACAGACATTTTTTTTTTTATAATCGATTCAAAGTGTTTTTGAGCCAAAATAAAATATTAATTATACAAAAAAATAATAATAATAATAAAAACAAAAAAAAAACTAAAGCACAATTCTCCTGAAGCAGCTCATCATTATTTTACAGTTGAGAGCAAGGATGTTATAACCACAGTACTATGCATATAGAGAGGATTGGCTCATTATAAATGTCACTGCCACCTTTCATAGGAAGAATAAAAACATGTGAAAAATACAGGAACATATTTAAATGGGATGATAGCTGGATAGAATAATATAATACAGAGTAATCCTTGGATTAAACAGGAGAGTTTGCCCTGTAATGGCAAAAATAACATATTAATTGCAGGATCTACTCCATGGTCTGGATGACAGGACATTTTTGATTAATTCCCAGGGGTATTTATTTGGTTGTGTCCATCTCGAATATTTCCCCCTTTGTTGTGATCATGGCCTGAAGACTGGGTGTGCTAAAAGCGTTGTGATCATAGTCCATGGATGGTAGGCATTTGGCTGGACCCCCATTAGGGGTATTATTGCAAGGGAGGACAAAGTGCTGAAAATAAGAGGCACCTCTAGTGCGAGGCCTGGTTAAGTGATTAAATAGGGGATAACATCAATCCTAAATAACCAAATGTTTTACTTATTGCAACTTTTAGAAAATGACACCTTATACTGGACAGACATGGGCTCCAATAAAATCTCTAGGTCCAGCCGAGATCAGACCTGGAGAGAAGACATCATCACAAGTGGTCTTGGACGTGTTGAAGGACTTGCGGTGGACTGGATTGCTGGTGTGTTTCTCTTCTTTTTGCATTTCTGTTTTTTTTTTTTCCTAGTAGCCTTGGTGTTGTCAGGCTTATTGTTTCTCTGTTGGTTCAGGGTCTTTGTTGCTTTGCATCCAAAGGTAATATTTACTGGGCGGACCATGGCTTAAATCTCATTGAGGTTGCGCGATTGAATGGTATGTACCGTGCAGTGGTCATATCGGAAGAACTCGATCAACCTAGAGCCATTGCGGTACACCCAGTGAAGGGGTATGTATCTGCCTTTAAAATTGCTCTGTGGGTTATTTGTTTCTAGTGCTTAGCTTCTGTTTCACCCAACTATAGCAACACCGCTTAAATGAACAACCTTTGATTGTCTAGAGAACCGTTAGTGTGTGCAATTAGCACCTCAAAGCTTGTTAACTGCAGATGTAAGTCCTCCTTAAAGCCCTATGATTTCTTTTGCATGCACGCTAATAGGAGAGGGCCATCATAATCTTGACCTTGTGTTTGTATTTAGTTACCTCATTATCTACAGCTCTGTATTGTAAAGGTGGAGTATAAACATTAAGCTTTAAAAACCTATTTCAAATCCCTATTGAGGTATTACGTTGTTTGTCTTACTAAGAATTTTAAGTCACTTTTTAAAATGGGATTAGCAATGAGCAACTTCATTCAGTAGATCACTGTTGCTGTTTTTTATAATCAATATGACGGGTGAACAAACCTGCTCCAGGAAGGCCATGGTTGTGCAGAGTTTAGCTCAGACCCTGATTAAAAACATCTAAACTATATAATCATGGTATTTTGACTCACTAGAGACTTTCAGGGAAGTGTATTGGAGCTAAACTGAGCAACATGTTGGCCTTTGATGAGCAAGATTGGACACCTTTGTGATATAATATTAGAGTAACTTTTTTTGCACATTTTTTTTGGTATTTTTGACTTATTTACTGTTGCATGCTATTCCGAAGAAAGGTTTGTCCTTATAGACTGTCTTCAAACAAACTATTTTCACTATTCTTTAGCAACTGAAATGACCAAGAGCTTAATGACGGGTAAACAAACGTGCTTTGGGAAGACCATGGTTGTGCAGAGTTTAGCTCGGACCCTGATTAAACACAACTGAAATAAATAATCATGGTCTTCAGACTCACTGGAAACTTCCAGGGAAGGGTTTTGGAGTTAAACTGAGCAACATGTTGGTCCCTGATAAGCAAGATTAGACACTTTTGTGATATGATATTGGAGTAACTTTTCTTACAAGTTACAAGTTTCTTTGCATGCTATTCCAAAGAAAGGTTTGTCCTTATAGACGGCCATTAAATAAGCCATTTTCACTATTCCTTGGCAACTGAAATGACCAAAGACTCACTGACGGGTGTACAAACCTGCTCTAGGAAGGCCATGGCTGTGCAGAGTTTAGCTCAGACCCCAATTAAACAAACCTGAACTATAAAATCATAGTCTTTTGACTGATTGTAAACATCCAGGAAAGGTTTTGGAGTTAAACGGAGCAAGATGTTGGCCCTCGATAAGTAAACTATTCTTACACATTTTTTGGTCTATTTGATTTATTTTTTGTCGCATACTATTTCAAAGAATGGTTTGTCCTTATAGTCTGTCATCAAATAAACTATTTTCACTATTCTTTGGCAACTGAATTTTTCACATTTTTAATTTTCAAAACTAAATTTTTTAAAGAGTTTGGATGACTTAAGTCAAGTCCTGTTCTACATTTTGTCTCGTTAAAACTTTCATAATATAATGTGCAAACATTGTAACTTTTAAAGGGACATCTTTCTACTTGTACCTAAAATGTTTGTAATGGTACCTTAAGGGTACATATTGTTACATTTAGATGACAGTGTACTTCTTTAATAGATAAATTAAGAAATAAGGTAAAGTGTTTAGAAAACACCTTTGTGTTTCAATTACAACGTGAGTGAAATGTTCTTGGACACAAAAATGGTACAAATTTTGCATATTTTTTCACTTAGTAATGGGCTGTGAATGATAGAGAAGTGTAAAAACTGAACCTAATTTGGATTTCTGAAATTCCCAGGAGGACTTGAACAGTTTAACCACAGCCAAATGAAGCCTGATAGCATTGCGCTTGTTTTCACTGTAACTGAAGATAAATCTTCGAGTGCAAAGGTCAGAAATCCTCAAGAAGGCTACTTAAATGAGTTTTCCTTTGAATACATGCAGGTTTCTTTTCTGGACAGAGTGGGGCCAAAGTCCTACCATCTCCAGGTCACGTCTTGATGGTTCAGAGCAATCTGTGCTTGTTAGCACCGGACTGGCACGGCCTAACGGCGTCTCCATAGACTACCAGGTCTGCTTCTTCTACTTGCCTAAAGTGCTTACGCTGCAGGCTGCCGTCCATGTTGATTTCATGCCTTATCTAGCAGCTTTAGGGCACCAAGAACATATAACCCTTCGGTCTTAATACAACAGATGCATGAAGTTTGTCTTCCAACTGCATTGCAGGAAAATAAATTATACTGGTGCGATGCCCGCAATAACAAGATCGAAAGAATCAACCTTGAGCGGGGTGAACAGAGGGAGATTGTGTTCTCATCGAGTGGGGTGGATATGTTTTCCATAGCAGTCTTCGGAGCTTACCTCTTCTGGTCTGACAGGTAATTTATTTTTCCATAAATGTTACAGTCTCTAAGAATGGCCTAAGAAAGCAGATATCGTCCCACTTTCCCTACAAGGTCACAATGCTAGCGCAAAAAAGACACATTTGATTATTTCAGAATCTCCCACGGTTCAATATCATTCCAAGGATAGGTTACCTCACCTTCTGTTAGAGCAGCTGTGTACTTATTTTAATGAGTTCTTTGCTTTTAATTAGTCGAGGGCCATTGATTTAGCGAGTGTCAAACTTTCGGTCTTGTTCCCCCATGACGGTAGAGCCTACGCCAACGGATCCATCCGACGTGCTTCCAAAAAAGACGCTGTGGATGTAGTGACCATCAGGAGTGGCTTGAGTGTCAGCCTGAAAGATGTGAAGGTCTTTAACCAGGATCGGGAGAAAGGTTGAGGTTTCACTTAATGGCAGTTTTCCTGTTTTTTTGAACATCACACCAACGCACACAAGTCTATGCCAGCTAAAGCAGGAGTGTTCAGACCAGCTCCTGGAAAACCACATTTATCCAGAATTTAGCTCCGACATAGATTCCTTTATGTTTGTTGTAACCCTAAAGACCTTAATTAGCTAGTTTATGGGTAGTTAATTAGGGATGCAGGATTAGAGCCAAATTCAAATGGGAAATGGCCATCCAGGAGAAGGATTTGGACACTTTTGCTGATAACAGAACACTTTCTGTTTTTGCACAAATCCACAGAAGATCAATTAGACTTGGTATCTCAAGCAGTTAATGTATGATGTATGAAACATTCTTTTTATTTATTTATTTTTTTTTAAGTATTACACTTGTGTAGTTCACCCAAACATGAGATCCACATAATGAACTAGAACTGTATTAGGGAGTACTTTAAAAAGTTTTGCATGCTAAACAATGAAAGAGCTACAGTAATGTTATGCTGGTTTTACACCAAACTGCATCACTGACTCTAGTTTACTCGTGGAATGTTTTCCCCAAGCATGGATGTTCACTCTACTTGAAATATTTGAAAGTGTGCATTACACATTATTGAAGCAAATTCCACTTTCACATTAAACGCATTGGATTCCGCTTCATTTGTACAGCATGATGATAATTTGCCTATGTTTCTTCATTTGAGTTGTATGTAATTTCTCACAAATACCTCATTCCAATAGTTTGATGTGCATCCAGCATTAGGTGATATCCTTTGATTAGACACTTTGTAGGAAACCTGATCTCTGATTTTCCGACTTCTTTACCCAGGTACAAACGCTTGCAGCAAATCAAACGGAGGATGCCAGCAACTTTGCTTTTACTTGGGGAATAACCGGAAAACATGCGCATGTGCTCATGGATATCTTGCTCAGGATGGACTCAGGTGTATCCGGTATGAGGGATACCTGCTTTACTCTGAGAGGACCGTCTTAAGGACTATTCATCTATCAGACGAGAATGACCTCAACTCGCCTATTAGGGCATACGAGAACCCAGTTTATTTTAAAAACATCATCGCTTTGGCCTTTGATCATCGACAGAACGCACATGGAACTAATCGGATTTTCTTTAGCGACGTTCACTATGGGAATATACAAGTCATCAATGACGACTGGACTGGAAGGCGCATCATTGCCGAGAGTAAGTGAAATGAGCTTATTTATATTGAGGAGTTATTTACTTTTTTTTTGATGGAAAAGAAGGCGTAGTTCACCCAAAACTGAAAATTTTGTGATCAATTACTCAACTTTCACTTGTTCTAAATCTGAACACTAAGCACGATATTTATTTGTTTTTCCTACTATAGAAGTCGCTGGTAACACGTTTTCAGCTCTCTTCAAATTATATACTTTAGTGTTCAACGGAATAATAAGGTTTGGAACCATTTGAAGGTGAAAAAGTGAGTACATTTTTAGTTTTGGTGAACTATGCCTTCAATTGTTGCAACTTCTTCTTTCATCTAGTTAAAGTTATAGGGTCACGAAACACCAAAGGGTAGTTAAAGGGTCACGAAAGACCAAACACATTTTTTGGGTTGTTCAATTAGACTTGGTATCTCAAGCAGTAAATGTATGATGTATGAAACATTCTTTTTTTTTTTTTTTTGAGTATTACACTTGTGTAGTTCACCCAAACATGAGATCCACATAATGAACTAGAACTGTATTAGGGAGTACTTTAAAAAGTTTTGCATGCTAAACAATGAAAGAGCTACAGTAATGTTATGCTGGTTTTACACCAAACTGCATCACTGACTCAAGTTTACTCGTGGAATGTTTTCCCCAAGCATGGATGTTCACTCTACTTGAAATATTTGAAAGTGTGCATTACACATTATTGAGGCAAATTCCACCTTCACATTAAACGCATTGGATTCCGCTTCATTCCGCAACACATTTTTTGGGTTGTTGACAGTCATATATGTGTCCCATGCAGCTAAGAAGACTATAAGGATACATATATCAAACTAAAAGGTGAAAATTGGTTGTTTTTGCATTATTTCGAGCAAATTCGTTCTTCCGGTTTGAAACGAATGCAGGAAATGTTCCTGAGTGAAAGTGAAAGTGCCAAACTGTAGATTTAGTCGACGAATTAATAATTTGGCAAATAACTCGATTACTGATGCCCATGTAAACAGTCACTGTCTTTCTCCCCTGCATCTGTGTGTTTGTTTTACCTCTGTGAAAATCAGCGCGTGCCCAAACGGAAACTCCCATTTTTATGGAAAACCTTCCCTCTTTCCCCTTCCCAAACACTCCCACCTAAACAGAAGTAGACACACCCGCTTTCCTGACTTTTCCCAAACTATTGGTGTGAAAACACCCTGCTGAGACAGGGGGTTTGGTGGCCCTTTAACAATTTTGTTTACTAGGAGTTCCAATCTCTTCAAAAGCCCTATTTGACAACATAAAGTAAATGTTGAGTTAATTCCTTTTGAATAGATGGATGATTTGAACGATTTCAGACATCCTTGACCTTTTCATTTCTGTCAAGTCTGTGAAGTTGAAAAATTGATTTGGAAATTGGTTGTCTGAACTTTTTTAACTCCTTTATATAGTTTTTATTCAGCTTTATACTCTCAATGTAACCCATGTATTTTCCCTAGTTCCAATGCAGCTTCACATTTGTAGGGGCATCACAGCCAATTAACGCCGGCGAAATGTAAATAAATTATCTGTACAGGGTACAGCCAATTACTCCGATAAAGCAGCAGCACAGTAGCCGGCATTGAAATTCATACCTCATGTGATTTATCAGGCCCTAACCTTGTCAACATTAACACACGTCTCATTTAATCAGTATGCCATTAACCTGCAGAGCTGTCAGTTCACAGCTGCCGCGCTGAACGATAGCTTGCCTGAGAGGAATTGTGATATTTGTCAAACGAGGCCGTGGCAGGCGCAGGGATTGTTACACCTGACCCTAGACGCTAAGCTTTATCCTTTGTCATGGATTTATGCTGATATATTGCAGACATGTATGTTGGCGTTCGGCTGATAAACAGCTTGCCTGTACGTACTCTTGTATGATAGATAGTTGATAGAATGTATGGGAGCTTTAAAGTTGACTGACATTTTTAGTTGAACAGACATTTTTATAGTAGATCATTTGCTATTATTTGTTTACATATGCAGTTATTTAATTAAATGTTGAGTTTAAGGTGGAAATAGTCTTTATTCTGATCCTTTTCTTTATACAATGTTTTGATTATATTATGGGTGGACTAAAACATGCTTTCATAATTTGAAACACACATTCTTTTTTACGAAATTGACATTATTAATAGGGCTGCTTGATTAATTCAAGTCACACTTTAATTTGGTAGTTCGTTTGTTGAATTTAAGTTACATTGCATCCACATGGCACCTAGCATGTGGGTTAGGGTTGGGGTTAGGGTTAGTGTAAGTTGACATGTGCTTGCAAAGTTTCTTAGGCTGCATTTACACTGCAGATCTTGATGGTCAATTCCGATTTTGTGACTGTATCCGATGTTTTTTGATGACCTGCTTACATAATATTTTAAAAGTGACTTAAATCCGATCGTATGCATTTACAAAGCACATGGCAAAGGCGCAATGACCAGGAAAAAAAAGAGCGGACACTGACTAACAGCTGATAATTAAAGAGTGCTCTTTTCTCTATTCCCTTATGTAATCTGTTTGCAGCTTTTGATAAGCTGTTTTACTATAGTATATGGCAGAAAGGTTCTCATTTGTCCATCTTCTTTTGATATATAGGCTTTTTAAAACCTTTAGGCATCTTAATGTAATGTCCATGAAGTGATTTATGCACGTGATGTAAGCACTAGTTTTAAATTAGTTTATATTGGTTAGGTAGCAGACATTGCGCGCTCTCGCTCTCGTTAACATGCTTAAATACCTGTGCTATATGACAATATGAAAGCTGTTTAAGTCCATGTGTATGAGATTTAAGGTTTGGGACTCTGCTAAGAAAGTGACAGACTTGATGTCATTCGCTACGGTTTTTAATGACACGTGACTCACATTGACAGGTGGAAATCTGGTCTACCTGCTTACACTGCAGACACGAGAACACAGATCCGGTTCATATCGGATAAATTTCCACATATAAACAAGGCCTGAATCTGATTTGAGTAAATCGGAATCCATGTGGTTTGTTCCTGCTTACACGTACACGGGCCATATCCGATCTGTGCCACATGAGAGAAAAAAATCGGAATTTAGTCACTTAAGTAGTGCAGTTTAAATGCGGCCTTGTAGTCAGTTAAATCTCTGTTGAAGGAGCAGTATCAACAGATATTAAGCAGACAGTCTACTAATACTTAAATGGACCATTAAAATAAAGTCCTTCTAATTTTGATGCACATTTTGTCAGTAAAGCCGGTTCTGTAATCAGTAGTAAAACTGCAGTACATTCTATCCAGTAATGCAGTGCAAATTGCACTGAGCTATAATTTAATGACACGCTACGCAAAAGATGTAATGGACAGCTGTTTGCATTTATCTATTTTTTTATTCTTTTGTAGCCTGAATAGGCTAAAATTTTGTTTGGTTTGCGTGTTCTTGAATTTGTTTTGCTGTCTTGTTTATTGCTTGTAGCAGACATTGTTTTTTTTTTTCTTCTTGTCTAGCCATATTTTGTTAATTATTTAGGCATATATATATATATATAAAGAAGACGCATGTTATAATATCTTGATTTCACTTAGATTAATTGTGGAGCCTGGTTTGAATCGTTAAGTGGCCTGATGCTTTTAGTTTTTTGATGTATTGTGCTTTTTTGACAAAATGTGTTGTGGTTTTTTTGGTTGTCCAAGTCTGTTATTGGCGAATAGAAAGTGTTTTATTACTGCCATGTCCAAACTCTTGCCAAAGCAGCGAGTTCTATCTACTTCCGAATATAAGGACGGTGTCAGTATTGTCGAATTCAGAATATTGTGATGTATGTTTGCATATTTGCATTGCAAAACATAAGTTTTTAATTGTTATTGCAATGTTTTTGATTAAGTAAAGCTTATTTATAAAGTAATTTTGAGAGGATCACCTGCTTATGATTGCTTGCGGCTGGTCCCGCATTACCTAATTTATGATTCACCAAACAGACGATTCCTAAGCCACTATAAATACCCTAAGTTCCATATTACAGCCATCTTTGTTTTGAAGAATTCTCCCTTCCACCCCTACTCCTCCTCCTTTTCTAGATTGGTGGCACAGTGGCCCAGTGGTTAACACTGTTCCCTCACAGCAAGAACATCACTGGTTCTAGTCCTTACCAAGCCAGCTGACGTTTCTGTGCAGAGTTTACACATCATCCCCGTGCTCACATGGGTTTCCTCCCACCATCTAAAAACATCTAACTTAAGTTAATTGACTGATCTAAATCAGCACCATAGACATGCTCCTAGTAAGTAGTTATCTCGTAATAGCAATCACTATCTGTTCATTAGCTACTACAGCAGGGGAGTTCTCAGGATCTACCTGAGCTTAAACTCCCCTCTCGCCATGCAAATGGGAGGTAGCCCCGGGCTCGAGGATCTTATGAGCTTAGGGCTCTGTCCCGGGACAGCATGCCAAACAAGCTTTTTAAACTTAAATATCGACATACTTAAATATCTACAAATAGGCCACTATTTAGTCTAAAAGAGCTGTTCATTTTTCAAAAGGGATTTTTTTTGCATATATCTCCCTTTGGAGTGGACTTGAGATTTGTAACTTTTTTTAGCCCAAACACACACTGACTATAACTTAAAAGACTATAACATAAAATGTGGAAAATTACATTAGAACCCATTTAATTGTTTGCAGCATTGACTTAACCAGGCATGGCATCTGTTTTTCCTTGCAGAACCCTTGCGTTTCAACCACCCTAGAGATTGTAATACATAAAACTCCCAGTAAATCTGCAGTTTGTGAAATAATCAGACGAGTCTTTCTGGCATTAACAATTACACCATGTATAAAGTCAGTTAAACAAGATTTTCTTCCTCAATTTGATGCTCTGTTTAATTTTAACAATCTTGACTCCATCAACATGCCTAATTTCAACTCCAAAATTCAATGTTTTAAAAGGAAACATGTCTAATATTTGTTTGGGTTTTGGGGTGAGTTCTGACCCGGACATGCTTTCGTACATTTATTCTGACAGTTGTAGCTGTGTGT